TCTCTCTCTCTCTCTCTCTCTCTCACACACACACATACACTCTCCCTAATACATACTGACATACATAAACACAGACATACACGCACACACCCTCCTCTTAGTACGGATAACGGATTTAAACCGAGACCACTCATAACTGTTTCGCTACCTCTCTGGGCACCTTTGCAGTGACTCTTTTGCCCAATCTCTAAAGTGACTCACAGTATGTAAGAAATCGAAACAGGGCTCATTAATACCAATACAAAAACCTAAAACTAAACAAACACGACGAATCAGATCATTTGTTTAAACAAAAAAAAAACACAAAAAAGGGTGAGAAAATCATGAAATCCCAAGAAGTAATAAAAAGAGACAGGATTTAAAACAACTGGAATTTATGTAGCGCCTAATCCCGTGAATGTCTCTACGCGCCGCTGTACGCGCCCAACGCAGAATTATCACTCAATTGACAAACAAAAGATAGAAAACCTACACTGTGAGACCATTTGACAACAACGACAACAGCTGCAACAACAGCAACAATAACAATAACAACAACAACAACAACAACAACAACAACAACAACAATGACAACAACAGCAACATCAACAGCAACAAAAGCAGCAGCAGCAACAACAACAACACCATCAACACACATATGCACAGACATACATACACACATGTGCACGCACATATACACTCATATGCACGCACAATACACAGAACCCCCCCCCCCCCTTACACACATATACACACGCAAAACTCCCAGACCAACACACACTGCCACACACAAAACCCAATGGGAGAGGACAGTGTTGAACAAACGTGTCTTTGACTTTTCTTACAGAGAAACAGTTCAATGAAAGGAGAATGAACACCAAATAAAAACAACACTCACAAACGTAGCGTCTCTGTCATAGAACTCTGAGTCTAGCTGTTCCTCTTCCCGAAAGTCGACACCATTATCAAAGAAAGCTGTAATAAATCGCTTCTTTCTGAACATCCTGGAAACACTAAGGTAATCCTTGCAGCGCAAATCTAGCCAACTAGATCTATCCGAATAATACGAAATCGCCACCTGTACAGCTGATGTTCAGTGATGCGGTGTCTAAACTGACTGTACGTTCAGTACCGCTGGTGGTGAGACAATCTTATAGTTCTTTTCAAAATCGAATAATCGAATTCACTAAGCATTTCACAATGTGAGAGCAAACAGTAGTAAGCGAATACAACAATCAATAACGGTTATATCATTCGTCACTCTGTAATATAAGGAGAATTGTCGGAACTCAAATTCCCTATAATTGGAAAGTTCTATCTTTCAAATTGCATTGTCCAGAGCACTAAACAATCACAAGTTTTGAGTTTCACCGAATTCATTGTTATTTTTAATCGACTTCATTGCTAAAACATTGAAGTGGTTCTGTTCTGAAGTGTTTTTCGCATTTTTATCCATTTGTAGCGTAACAATCACAATAAAATTGAGTACCAGTCGTCAATGTTGCATTATGGGTTGAGGATCTTCAGTTTTAACGGCGAAACAAAACAGAAGAGAAAGTGACGCGAGTTTCGCAAAGAATAAAAAGATGACGCGACGATGACAAAAGTTAATGATTATCAATAGTTAAACGATTTTTAACGCAATTCTGCTTTGTTCTCGCCCAACAAAATATTTTCCAATACTAGTCCTGCAGGAAAATCCACACAGAAATCCTTCCATCGAGTGCAACACCCCCACACCACACACATCTTGTTTCCACAATAATTCCCCGGCAACGTTGCAAAAATGCAACTAAGTATTTAACAAAGTGCCCACGGCTGCACACAATGTGAAGCGAATGTAATACATAAGTGATGTCTTTCACCAGGCATTTCTGAGGACCTTTTATTTCTAATTTCCAAACAATTGCCAGACATTACCGTATTGATGTATTTTGTATTGGGAGCAAATAATTAAACGGCTAAGAAACAACAACCCACAACCCCCCCCCCTCCCACACACACAAACAAAAACTCTCTACAAAAAACAAAAACAAAAACAAAAAGTGGTACGTTTTCTTCTTGCACAGTCTAATTAAGTTAATAAAGGACCAATCGATTTATTTGGTCTTTAGCTCTTTTAAAAACGGAAGTGCTGATAGTTCTGAAGCGAATAACATTCACTGCTACGGCTATGTATAGGTGGTTCAGATCAAGAATATACAAAGTGGAACTTTATTTGACCCAAGGGCTCTTATTAAACAAATAAATGTGCTAAGTTAAAACCCCCTTTCTATAGATTTATCTAATTGAGAACACGGTCAGGAAGAATTGGGTTACAAGATTATCCTCTGTACATCGACAGAAAACTCCAAGGTGAACGACGATAAACGAGAGAGAGAGAGAGAGAGAGAGAGAGAGAGAGAGAGAGAGA